AGAATGTGTCCCTTTATGGGTCATAATCTCAGACACTGTTTATTTTCTTGGCTTCTTCAATAAAACTATATATAATAACCACACTTATTTTTTTGTTGTTTTGTTTTGTTTTGAGATGGAGTCTTGCTCTGTCGCCCAGGCTGGAGTGCAGTGGCACGATTTTGGCTCACTGCAACCTCCGCCTCTTGGGTTCAAGTGATTCTCCTGCCTCAGCCTCCTGAATAGCTGGGACTACAGGTGTGTGCCACAGTGCCTGGCTAATTTTTGTATTTTTAGTAGAGACAGGGTTTCACCATGTTGGCCAGGATGGTCTCGAACTCCTGACCTAATGATCCGCCTGCCTCGGCCTCCCAAAGTGCTGGGATTACAGGCGTGAGCCAACGCGCCCGGCCCACACCTATTTTTTTCCCCTCCAAATTACCACTAGTGGACTTCCTGTCTCAATTGTTCCCTCTCCTTTTCTTTAATAACTTAAAACGTTCAATCACTTTTCCTGCTTTAAGTCTCCCTTCTTTACTAAATACTCCAAAATCTACATTTCTGGCCTTCTTATCATCTCTAGGATTTAGAGAGAGGGTAAAAGATATTTCACATGAATAGACACCATGATATCAACTCAACATTTCCAAATCTGATCTCAAGATCATTCTCTCCTAGGTTTTCCTTGTTAATGTCCCTACTTCTTTCACAAGGTATTATGAACTGTTTCTTTAAAATCTCTTCCAATTTTGGCACTTTTTCATTCTCACGTAAGTTGTTAATGAATGTGGAGAAAATAAACAATATTCCTTTTGTTTAGCACTTCATTTCACCCTTGGATTATTATAAGTGGGTTTTTAACTCAACTTCTGTCCTCCTCTATTCTGATCTAGGTTAATGCCTCACATATATAAACCTATTAAACCACTATTTTGATCATTCCACTTTCTTTATAAAAACTACAATTGCTCTTTATTATAAATTCCTATGTAACTTTCAAGATACTTTGCAATCTGGTCCCTCCTCACCTACCCGAACAATCTTCAGAGTACTGTAGTGCTAACATTTAACTTACAGAAATTCAATTATACTTGTTTAGCAATAATAATACACTTTTTAAATGTGCTAGCAATGCCACTTGCTATTCTATTCAATGAATGTATGCACTGATATAATCAAACCCAACTGTTAATGCACAGAAAGAAAAACCTAACGAAAGGATGAATACATTTCGAAAATGTCCTGACCACTGAAAAGTGCCCAAACAAGTATAGTTTTACCATATCCTTTCATGTTCAAAAAATGCTGAAAAGCATAGGGAAATAACAACTAAAAGTAGATATAATTATTTTAAATATTAGCCTCAGGCCGGGGCAGTGGCTCACGCCTATAATTCCACCACTTTGGGAGGCCACGACAGGTGGATTACTTGAGGTCAGGAGTTTGAGACCAGCCGGGCCAACATGGTGAAACCCCATCTCTACTAAAAATTCAAAAATTAGCCAGGCATTGTCGTGACCACCTATAATCCCAGCTACTCAGGAGGCTGCGGGCAGGAGAATTGCTTGAACCTAGAGGGTGGAGGTTGCAATGAGCCGAGACCCCGCCACTGTGCTCCAGCCTGGGCGACAGAATGAGACTCCATCTCAAAAATAAATAAATAAAATAAAATAATAAAATTGAAAATAAATAAGTTTCTAAAGAGAAAGATGACTATGGACAGGAAGACCCACCAAATTAGAATCTTTATAAATATGCTCAAGTACTTCAAAATTCAAGCACTTCAATATTTTACTTTATAAATATGATCCTGCTACATTACTACATATATATTTGGAAATTTTTTTTTTTTTTTGAGGCAGAGTTTTGCTCTTGTTGCCCAGGCTGGACTGGAGTTCAGTGGTGCAATCTCGGCTCACTTCAACCTCCACCTCCCAGGTTCAAGAGATTCTCCTGCCTCAGCCTCCCAAGTAGCTCCCACAGGCGCCCACCACCATGCCCAGCTAATTGTTTTATATTTTTAGTAGAGAGGGATTTCACCATGTTGGCCAGGCTGGTCTCAAACTCCTGCCCTTAGGTGATCTATCCGCCTCAGCCTCCCAAAGTGCTGGGATTACAGGCATGTGCAACTGCCCAGCCTTAGATGCATATTAAAGTGTAAGGTTATGCATAAAGTGATATGTATTTTACTGGTGATTTAAGAGAATTAGGAATATTTTGATCATTCTCAATTTTCAACTTAAAAGGGCTCTAAAACCTATTCCCAAATAATATTGAACTCTGTTAGATAATTCACATACTTAGCTCTCATTAGACAATGTCAAGAAACCTTTTGTTACTCAGGAGCCAATTTCGAAAAAAAGTTGTAAACTCTGTATTTTTTTTCATAAATTATATCAACAGGCTATTAATAAATACATTTGTGCTTATATATTACTGCATTCTATCAATGAAGGAGTGACTAGAAACTTTATAGATTGTATTATAATTACTGGCCATAACTCTTTTTTCTTTTTTTACTACTGGCCATAATTCTATATTTGATGAAGACACTTCAGAAACTCATTTGTTTTCCATTTATTGACTTTATAAGTTTTAAATTTTGAATTCTGGGTCACAAAAAGTACTCTTCAATCCACTTTATTTGAAACACAAGATTTTCTTCAGCCACTGTTCTAGCAATAACCATATACAGATTTCAACATTGAAGAGGCAATCTACCCACTTAGAGCACCCCACACTACTTTCTGTCCTCAACTTCTCTTTTTTACTGTTCCCTTTCATAAATCAAGTCCACCAGCTACCTTCTCTAGCTAGACTACTTATTCTCTGGTTTGATTTTGTACATATATCCAAACATTGTCTAATAATCAAGGCAAAACTCTTGCATGCATCAAGGGCAGGAATTTTTGAAAGAATGTATAAAAGAGCAAATTTTTCAATTGCTGTCTTAGCAGTGAGAAAAAGGGAAAGACTCTGCCACAGAAATCTGAGCAAAGAAACCAGGCAGTCTTAAAAAAAGGGCAAGAAAGAAGCCAGCCAGTTGTTTGGGGCTAACTAGTTCACGCCTCAAACCAAATATACAAAAGAGGTCTCTCATCCCAGCTCAACAAAGAGGAGAATCATAAAGAATCTGGGGACTGGAAACTCCATTACTCCTCAACACTGTTCACAAATTGCCTATCACTATGCTTAGCACCTAACAGCTACTCAAATATCTGTTAAATGAATAAATGGATGGATGAATGAATGAGTGAACAAATGGGATAGACACTGTAGTCAAGGTGAATGTGTTCCAGTGGAAGTTATCCTCTGTGTCCTTCATTTTTGGTCAGGAATACTAAGCATAATAGTGGGTCCTAGATCAGATGTTTTATAATACAGACTATTCATTATTTAGGACCCAGTTTTAAGTTCTAGGCTTCTCTAGGATGCTTCCCTTGATTATGCCAACCTAAAACTCTCAAAATTCTTTCATCCAGCTATTTGTAAATAACTGTTTTACTTTGAAATATCTTGTATAAAACCTATGTGTACGGTATAAAAATTAATACAATGAATACTACATGCTACTACCATCTATGTTAATAGGACACTGCCAATATCCTAGAAGTCCCTTGTTTGCCCTTGCCCAATCCCATTCCCCTCCTTCTCTTCAGAAAAACCACTATATTGACCTTAGCAAAGACCAATTTCCTAACTGTTCTTTCATTTATTACCTTTGAAAGTTTCCCTATGCAATATATTTCATTTCCCCAGTTTTGGAACTGTATATTAATAAAATCATATTTTCTGCATATATTATATGGCTACCATCCATCAAACTTAAAACTTCTTTACTTTGGAATTTTTCTAACATATAAAAAAATAGAATAGTATAACAAAGTCCTATATACACATCACATAGTTTCAACAACTATCACCATTTTACCATTCTCTTATTTGATCTATATTGGCATTGTTTTTAAAATCATCTTCATTTCTATACCAATTATTTCACTGTTAAATACCATACCATTGTATACAAAATACATATAATACCATTTTAGACATAATGAAGCTATTAGATTTAACAATATGTATGTGTCTCATAGTCCACAGATTCAAAAGTTTCTCTATATGTATACGTATAGACATAACTAGAAATGGAATTGATGCATACTAGAAATATGCATGCATACATATGTACATGTGGAAATGGAACTGATGCTTCTTAGGATACATAAACAATCAACTTTAATAAGTAATACTCAAGTTGGTTGTAACAACTTAATGTAATACCAACAGTGATGTGTGAATTCATGTTGCACCACTTCTTTACCAAGACTTAATACTGTCAGACCTTTTAATTTTATGATGTAATGTGTATGGTCTTCTGCTTTTGGCTATGATGGAGTAACCAATACCAGCCTGTGCCTCCTAATGTAAATAACCATAAAACTTATATGAATATGAAACAACTATTTTTAGGGATTGAACAAAAGTAGTGTAAGACTGTGATCTCTGAGAGAAGAGCTCACAAAATGGGCTCCACAATCACCCCAGCTCTCTTTCTGGGTACAATTTCCTAACCATGGCACAGCAAGCTTCAGCCCAAGCAAAGTATAACTATCCTGCTGAGCTGAGAAGGTAGTGCTTTAGAGTTCAGTACAGTTTAAGCAGTGGAACCTGTGGAATAGAGCACTGGAGACAATCTATGCAGGGAAGAGTCGGGCAATAAGTCCATGTGAGGGTCAGGCTGCTGTGTGTACTTGGCTGGAGGCAGAGCACATGTGTTCAGGATAAGACTACCTAAGACATATCCTAAAGTGACTACTATGTGGTTAAGCTGAACAGATACACTAAAGGTCCAGTAGTGCTGGGGGATGGTGAGCATACAAGCCCAGTTAAGAATGGATACCCTTTGTAAGCCACTCGTTAACACTCTGGGCATTCATCTGTGATACAGTTTTGAAATGAAGCCATGCTACAGAATAAGGTCCACACTCAAGTACAGAGAATAAGACCTGCTCTAGACTCACTAGCAAAGCCTAATATAAAACCTGACAAGATCTAGAGGAGACACAGAATGTGGAGGTTAAGTTCTGTCAAGTTAAAGAGGCTTTCCACAGATCTAACCTAACAAAGAGTAAAATAAGCCTACACAATTGCAAGTGTAGCCTACAACACCCAATAAAACAAAAAAACTCAACAGCCTTCAGAGGAAGATGACATCTATAATCTCTACAGCATATGTATAATGCACAATATAGAATTTTTAAAAATACTAGCAGTGAAAATAAATAAGAAAATGTAACACATAGTCAAGGTAAAAAAGCAGTCAGTAGATCGCTCAAATGTTATCACAAGATTTCAGATGTCAAATGTCAGATTTTAAGACAAGGACTTCAAAGCAACTATTATAAATATATTTGAAGAAACAGAAGAAAAACATGGTCTTAATAAGTGAACAGATACAAAATCACAGCCGAAAAAATGCAAACTATAAAAAATGGAAATTCCAGAACTGAAAAATATATACTTGGACGGGTCTAAAAATAGAATGAAAATGGTAAACAAATATTAGTGAAGTTTAAGACAGACTGATAAACACAGTACAATCTATAGAACACAAATATTTCAGGAAACAGAAAGAACCAGGCATGGCGGCTCACGCCTGAAATCCCAGCTACTCGGGAGGCTGACGTGCGAAGATCACTTGAGCTCAGGATTTCACAAGAAGTCTGGGTAGTATCTCAAAAAAAGAAAACAAAAAAACAGAAAGAACCTCAAGGACCTGTGAAACATTATCAAATAGCGTAACATACCTGTAAGTGAATTCCCAAAGTAAAAAATGAATAAGGAACAGAAAAAATATTTGAAGAATTAATGACTGAAATGTCCCCAAATTTGATGAAAAACATCAAATTACTAATTCAAAAGTTTCACCTAACCTCAAATTGGATATATTCAAAGAAAACCAAACCAAGACACATCACAGTAAAACTGCTAAAAATCAATGGTAAAGTAAAAGTCTTGAAAGCCAGAGAGGAAAACAACACATTACACACAAGGGAAAAAGAATACAAATAATGGCTGACTTCTGTGGTTCTCAACTGGGTTTTGATTTTGTCCACACCTCCACCATACATTTTTTATTGTCATGGGATTGGGGTGGGGGGATGCTACTGGCATCTTGTGGGTAGAGACTAGAGATAATGCTAACCATCCTATGACATATAAGACAACTTCTACAACAAAGAATCACCTACTTCGAAATGTTAATAGTACTGAGGTTGAGAAACCACCACGCACAGCTAATTTTTATATTTTTAGTAGAGATGGGGTTTCACCATGTTGGCCAGGATGGTCTCAATCTCTTGACCTTGTGATCCGCCTGCCTCAGCCTCCCAAAGTGCTGGGATTACAGGCATAAGCCACTGTGCCTGGCCTCTGAAATCAGGTCTCTTGATTCACTTGACTGTCCAGCAGAAAGAACTTTAGTTCAAAACCATTTCTAAAGAGTGACTACAGTTAACTTGAGAGCTCACGTTGTCCATGAAAGGAAAGCGATCTGAGAAGTCTTTCAGAGTAAGGTTTAGGAAGAGTGTAAAAGAATTTTGCATTTTGAAATATACAACATAATCCAGGCACAGTGGCTCATGCCTGTAATCCCAGCACGTCGGTAGGCCGAGGCGGGCAGATCACCTGAGGCTGGGAATTTGAGACCAGCCTGAGAAACATGAAGAAACCCCGTCTCTACTAAAAATACAAAATTAGCCAGGCGTGGTGGCGCATGTCTGTAATCCCAGCTACTCGGGGGGCTGAGGCAGAAGAGTAGCTTGAACCCGGGAGGAGGAGGTTGCAGTGAGCCGAGATTGCGCCATTGAACTCCAGCCTGGGCAACAAGAGCGAAACTCCATCTCAAAAAATAATAATAATAAATTTAAAAAAGAAATATACAACCTAAGAGGACTAATAATGGAACTGTGGCACCTGGAAGAACTCCACAGACTATACTTTAATGGTACAGTTTCTATGTAAAGGCTGCCTAAGCTTCCATATTCTTTAAATTCTTGGTCTTCCCTCCATTTGTAGCATTGTTTCTGGTCCCACATAACCATCTGGTCTTTGTTCTTTCTTCATATACGCCCAGTTTTTTACAGTTTTCAAATTCTTTACAACCCCATGAGGTGGAGAGGGTAAAAATGACTCCTGCCTGAGATTCACAGAAGTTAGGTTTCGGTCCAGAACTGCACTCCCAATGGAATTTGCACATAGTTGACTGCTAGTCAAGAACAAGCTTAGCCAGACAGGTTCTCAACTTGGTGTACTTCTCTAATAAGGAGAAAAGTTCACCTCAAGTGATGGTAAGGAGACAGGAAGTTTACATGACTCTCCTCTTGACAAGTCAGTATGAAGCTATTGTTTCTGTCTGCCAGCCATCTCCTGATAAATGTGTACAGCATTTCCACCTTTATACCAAATACTCTGCCACAACTGAAGTTCCTTTCACTCTCTGAAATAAATACAGGTAAGGACTTGCCTCATTTCTAAGGGGGATGCTGCATAAGACAGTGAAGTAATCAGCAAAGTCAAAGTGAATGAAAGCCATCCGGTCTTCCAAGGCTCAAGGACCCCAGTAATTCCAGAATGCTGTCCGGGTCAAGGCAGAAGAAAGCCACTAAAGGTGGGCTTTTTTGTTGACAGTGTAACCTCTCAACAATGTGCTTGCTGATGGTCTCAATCGCCTCACTACTGGAAATGTTCTCTCAAATACCACAAAGCTAAGTACATCCAAGAAAAATTCTGGGAACTGATGTTTAGGCCACCAGTGAGGAGTATAAGTTCACCTGATAATATATAAGTAGTACTGGACAAAACTGGTATATTTCACTACTGTAAAAGCAATGAGCCTAAAGATTAGATTAAGTGATTGGCAGATGTGATTCAGAAGTTTCAAATGTGAAGGTTCTTCCTAAAATGTTGGAGATAAACACATTAGTATATTTAAGTTTCTACACAAGCAACTTGGGCAGAGGATAGAATACTGAGCAACTTGTAATGGGTTTCTCTCTCTCTTATTCTGTAAATACAAATTAAACATTTCTAGTTAGGGGAAGGTATCATGAGATAGTGGACCAGGAAATACCTGAGCTCATAAGCCCAGATGCTAGCCAATGATACCAATAATAAGATGTAAAGGCCTACCAGCGTATTTTTGGGATGGACATCTGATCTCTACATCCTATGTTAACAAAGCCTTCAATACTGTACAGATTTATACCACTCAAGCAGACCACTGGAAAGGAAGACAAATAGGTGGGCACAAAAAAGCAGAGACAACTGACCAACTGCGGTGGCTCATGCCTATAATCCCAGCACTTTGGGAGGCTGAGGCAGGTGGATCACAAGGTCAGGAGTTCAAGACCAGCCTGGCCAAGACAGTGAAACTCCATCTCTACTAAAAATACAAAAATTAGCCGGGCATGGTGGTGCATGTCTGTAATCCCTTGGGAGGCTGAGGCAGGAGAATCACTTGAACCCGGGAGGCGGAGGTTGCAGTGAGCCAAGATCACGCCACTGCATTCTAGACTGGGTGACAGAGCAAGACTGTCTCAAAAAAAAAAAAAAAAAAAAAAAAAACAGAGACAATCAACCTACCTTGACTTTAGACCAAGGAACAACAACGTGGCACCTTCAAGAAGTAAATAAATCAGCTTTGGCTTGCCTCTTTTGTAGTACCCATCCCCCTTTAATTCTAGCCTTTTAGTATTGTTATGAAATATGCCTCCTAGAAGAATACACAAAATATATATGTGCAACTTATAATGCATTCATGTAACAACTACGAGAAATACAACTGTTAGTATTTTAGAAACTTCTGAGTATCCTACACCTCCCCCCAGCCCCCACAATGAACAAATTCTGACTTATGTAATAATTATTCCAGGTTTTTCTTTATGCAACTATCTATATACGTAAGTATACCTAAAAAATCATGTTTCATTTAACCTGTTCTTGAGTTTTGTGGAGTCATATTGTGTATGAACCCTCATTTCTTTCATTCAGCATTGTTTTCTTTATGTATTCATAAAGATGTGTATGGCAATCTTTTTTTCTCTACTATATAGCTACTTTTCACTACTATGATGACATAGTCAAGTACTGATAAATACTTCAAATATTTTCAATTTGTGACTATAATGAATTATTCTGCTATATTATTACACATTGCTCCTGGTGAACACATCTAAACTCCTCTAGGGTAGTGCCATCCAATACAAACACAATGTGATCTTAAATTTTCCATAACTACAAAAAATATAAAAAGAGGTACATTTTAAATATTTAATCTATTTTGACATGCAATAATTATTAAAATTTGAGATATTTTATATTCCTTTTTGTTACTAAGTCTTCAAAATTCAATATTTTACAGTTAAAACACATTCTATTTTGACTAGCCACATTTCAAGGGCTCAATGTCTTTGTTAACCAATGTTAACCAATTGTTTAATCAATGTTAACCAATGTTAACATATGGTTAATGTCTACTATATTTAAACAATGCAACTCGAGAATATATTCCTGAGTGGAAATGGTGGATCATAGCATATGGTTGACCATTTTTTATTCCCAGACAGATTGAGGTTCTTGCTCCAAATACTCCCAAACTCTATTTACCATCTGATGTCTTAACACTGCTAATGTAAGTTTTATGAACTATTTCATTGAAATATTTTTATCTCCTTGACTAATAATGTTGAACATCTTCTTGTGTTCTGTCATTTAGACTGCTTCTTTTGTAAAAAGTTTGTTCATGTCTTATAAGCGGTATACTGAATCTTTTCTTCTTTTTTTTTTTTCTTTTTTTTTTGAGACAGTCTCACTCTGTCGCCCAGGCTGGAGTGCAAAGGCACGATCTTATACTGATTTTGTTGTAACAGTTACACAGTTACAAGCATTTAGTAAATCTACTTTATGGATTTTTTTCTTCCTTTTAAGAGATAATGCCTCACTATATTACCCAGGCTGAAGTGCAGTGGCCATTCACAGGTGCAATCATTGCACACTACAGCACTGAACTTTTGGGTTCAAGGGATCCTCCTGCCTTAGCCTCTAGAATAGCTGGGACTACAGGTGCATACCACTATGCCTGACTTACAGACATTCTTTAATGCCTAGACCGTTAGTGGTTTGGGGACTTCTTATGCTTCTTAAAAAAACTGATATATGTATATTAGTCGTACATACTTCTGGGGTACATGTGCTATTTTGATACCTGTATACAATGTGTAATGATCACATCAGGGTAATGGGGATATCAATCACCTCAAATATTTTTCTTTATTCTCTTCTATTTTTTTCTTTTTTATTCAAGTGATCACAATCTTCAATCTGTTAATGTGAATTTCCTTTACTAACTTTTCTAATGTACAATTAATTCATGATCTTGAATGAACACAACTTGGTTATCTATTTTTTTAAAAACTGCTAAATTTGGTTTACTAAAATATTGTTTAGACTTTTTAAAAATTATTATTATTATTATTAATTTTATTTTTTTGAGACAGGGTCTCACTCTGTTGCCTGGGCTGGAGTGAAGTAGCGTGATCTCAGTTCAATGCAACTGCCTCCCAGGTTCAAGCGATTCTCGTGCCTCAGCCTCCCAAGTAGCTGGGACTACAGGTGCCCACCACCATGCCCAGCTAATTTTGTATTTTTAGTAGAGATAGGATTTCACATTGGCCAGGCTAGTCTCGAACTCCTGACCTCAGGTTATCCACTTGGCTTGGCCTCACAAAGGGTTGGGATTACAGGCATGAGCCACCATGCCCAGCTATTTAGCCTTTTTATACCTAGGTAATGCCTGACTCTCATTCATATTCTCATGAATTCTAATTTCTTATGTATAGTTCAGGTACCAATGATAGGTTCTTCTCATAAGTATTATCCCCCACCACTACCATTTCCACAAATATTTGACTTATTATTAGCTCTATTCACTGGAAATATTTGTGCATTCCTGAAATCATTCATTCTAATTATAAAGAGATATGTTAATAAAATATCTGTATTTGAAATTATTATAGAGTTTGAAGATGTTTTAAATTGTCATAGCACTATCTGGACTTTCTTTTCCACTCAATTTTGAAGTTATATACTTTTCTAGAAATCTGTCTTTATAAAAATGTTCAAATTTATTGCTCTAAAATTATATTTTAAAATTTCTGTATGATTAGTAACTATATCCCCTATTGCATTCCATGTAAAATATCTATTTTCTTTTTTGTTATCATAAGCTTAATTCTAGCCTTTTTGAAAAATTAAGTCCTGAAATGACTAAGTCATAAATTAGGTCCTCTATTATGTGTTAGATGTAATTAATTAAATTCTGCTATTTATTTCCTTCCATATTTTTTATGGGGGTTTATATTGTTAATTCTTTTCCTAACTTCTTGAGATCAATGCTATAGCAGATTCTGTTATGTTGTTCAATCCTCATATTCCCCAGAAGAGAAGATTATGCATATTCACCACTGTCACCTGCCTTTTAAGAATATATATTACAGGCCGGGCGTGGTGGCTCAAGCCTGTAATCCCAGCACTTTGGGAGGCCGAGACGGGCGGATCACGAGGTCAGGAGATCGAGACCATCCTGGCTAACACGGTAAAACCCCATCTCTACTAAAAAATACAAAAAACTAGCTGGACAAGGTGGTGGGTGCCTGTAGTCCCAGCTATTTGGGAGGCTGAGGCAGGAGAATGGCGTAAACCAGGGAGGCGGAGCTTGCAGTGAGCTGAGATCTGGCCACTGCACTCCAGCCTGGGCGACAGAGCGAGACTCCTGTCTCAAAAAAAAAAAAAAAATATACACACACACACACACACACATATATATATATATATATATATTCCAAAATTAGCCAGGTTTGGTGGTGCATGCCTGTAGTTCCAGCTACTTGGGAGGCTGAAGCACAGGAATTACTTGAGACCAGGAGGTGGAGGTTGCAGTGAGCTGAGATTCATGCCACTGCACTCCATTCTGGGTGAGACAGCAAAACTCTGTCACCACCCGCCCTAAAAAAAATATATATACACACACACACACACACACACACACATACACATATATATAAACACGCACATTTGTGTATATAGTGTGTGTATATATATTCCCCATCCAAGTACAAAGAAATGATAAATGTTCGAGGTGACATATATAAATTACCCTAATTTGATAATTACACATAGTATGCATGTATCAAAATATCACACGTATCCCATAAATATATACAATTATTATGTATCACTAAAAAATAAATTTCAAATGGAATGAAAAAATATATGTTCCCCAGCCTATAGGCTTGGCCATATAGTCAATGGAATATAAAAAATGCACAGAAAGCACATACAAGCAGCAACATCAAATATAACTAAGATTTGGCTCTGCCTCTTGTTCTTCCCCTCTGCCACATGAATAAGCATGTATTGTACAGGAACTGCTGTTCTGGAATTAATCCCCAAATGAGAAGACAATTGGAGAAGAACCAAACATACAGAGCTGCAATAGCTGACCCACAGCCAATGTCAGGTAACATGAATGAGAAG